AAGCAATCTTAGGATACAATCTTTTTTATTTTTAAGGGAACGGTCATGAATTTTTGATGTGTTTAAAAGTTGGATCCTCTCCAAAAGATAGAAAAATTAGCTAAACAATTTTCATTAAAAACAGATAAGTCACACACTTGGCCTAGCGTGTGAGACCCCTTGGGACACCTCCTCCCATGGCAGAGGGCTGGGCCTTGACTCCCAGCTCCACCTCCTACTGATGTACACCCTGAGAGGCCACGGGTGACAGCTCAAGGACCTGGTCCCTGCCACCCATGTGGGAGACCCAGATGGAGTTCCTAACTCCTGGGTTCAACCTGGTCCACCCATAGCTGTTGCATGCTTTTTAGGAGTGAAACAGCAGATGGAAGATAGATATCTCGCTTGCTCGCTCTCTCGCACGCCCTCTGTGTGTGTGTGTGTGTGTGTCAAATAAAATAATTTCTTAAACAATTGATAGGTCTGGTAGTTCTAGCACATAGCAGACTTAGCTCATGGACTAGCCTCTACCCCACCCCCAATTTACAAATATAGAAAAGCCAAGGAAAATATACAGCTCACAAGATGCCACTTCAGATCTTTTTGGATGGCTATTATCAAAAAATAACAGGTGTTAGTGAAAATGTAGAGAAATCAGAACCTTGTGCATTGCTACCAGGTATGTACCATGTATGGCAGTGCCTCAAAAATTGAAAAATAGAATTCCCGAGTGACCCAGCAGTCCCAGTTCTGGGGATACAACTGATAGCAGAGGCAGAAATATTTGCATTCCCATGTTCTCCACAGTATAATTGCCAAAGGGTAGAAGGAGCCCAAGTGCCCGTCAGTGGATGAATGAGAGACCGAGGTAGGTACACACCATGAAATCGTATTCAGCCTTGCAAAGGAAGGAAAGTCTGACCCATGCTGCAGCACGGATGAACCCAGACAGCATTAGGCTAGGGGAAATGAGTGAGGTACCAACAGGCAAACACAGCGACCCCACCATGCGAGGTGCTCAGAGTAGTCACGGGGACAGAATGCAGAACAGGGCTTGGTAGGGGCTGGGGTAGCGTTACTTAGCCGGCTTGGAGCTTCACTTTTGCAAGAAGACAAAGCTCTGGAGGTGGTAATGGTTGTATAACTGCATGAATGTATCTAACGCCACTAATCTGTACACTTAAAATTGTTCACATGGTAACTTCACAGTACGTGTACCTTACCCAATTAAAATATATCAATAAACAGAAATAAAGATGGCTGGGTTTGAAAGAGAGAGAGGAAATGTTTCTTCCAGAGGCAACCCAGAGTGCCAGACTCCAAAGGCCGACTCCGGAAGCCAGGGGAAAGAAGAAGCCACAAGGAAGATCGCATGCCGGTGTCAGCCTTAACGTCCATGCAGAAGCGGGGCCACATTTCTAGAGAGGCACTGAAACAAAGGCCGCCGCAGGGACCGGGGCGCTGGGAACGGTGCGCAGTCGGCGGTACGGAGGCTGGACGCTCCACTCAGCCAAGCGGACAGCGGGGAAACTTGCCCGGCTCACGGCTGCACCCAGAAAGCCGGCCCCTGCTCTGCAGCGTGCTGGGCTGTGGATGAGGAAAGATACTACCCGAGGCCAAAAAGAAAAGGTCAGCGTACGTCCCGTGACCACAGGACGCGAGCCGGTGTAACCCCACAGAGGGGAGTGCGGGGAGAGCCCGCAGAATGCAATAGGCCATCTTCTCAAAGGGCTGAGGGACAGCGACAGGCAACCTAGAATCCCCAGAGAGGCAGTGAAGACGGTCTGAGGGAAGCACAGTCAAGTCTCTCTGCAAGACTGGCACCAGACGGCCGCAGATAGCATCAATAAGAGAGAAAGTGGGCTGGCGCCGTGGCTCACTAGGCTAATCCTCCGCCTTGCGGCGCCAGCACACTGGGTTCTAGTCCCGGTCGGGGCGCCGGATTCTGTCCCGGTTGCCCCTCTTCCAGGCCAGCTCTCTGCTGTGGCCCGGGAAGGCAGTGGAGGATGGCCCAAGTGCTTGGGCCCTGCACCCCATGGGAGACCAGGAGAAGCACCTGGCTCCTGCCATTGGATCAGTGCGGTGTGCCGGCCGCGGCGGCCATTGGAGGGTGAACCAACAGCAAAGGAAGACCTTTCTCTCTGTCTCTCTCTCTCACTGTCCACTCTGCCTGTCAAGAAAAAAAAAAGAGAGAGAGAGAGAGAGAAAATGGACCACCAAGAACCAGTTGCAAGAAAGACATGAGTAAGCACAGGGAAAAATCTAAACAGGAAGTGATTTATAAAACAATAGTTATTATTATGACTAATTTAGGGGATTGAAAAACAAGATGAAATTAAAATATTGAACAAGAACACATTTAAAACAAGGAATGAATGACTACTCAAAATACTTTAAGGGCTTTTTATTATTAGGGAGGAACAGAGAGTTATTGACTATGTTAAGTATGCAAGTTAACAATTTTAAATTAACCCTACAGTGCTACAAATCAGCAGAAAGAAAGGGGAGAATAAACAAAATTGGATCAATCTAACAGAAGGTAGTACAAGAAGAAAAAGTATTTTAAAAAAGAAGGGAAAATGAAAGTATCAAAATCACATGGTAGATACAAATCCAGTATATTGGTAATCATACAAAAATTAACTAAACTCGGTAGTTAAAATATATTGTATGCTTAAATTTTGTAAAAGATTTATTTATTTGAAAGACAGAATTACAGAGAGAGAGACAGAGAGATCTACCATCTGCTCATTCACTACCCAAATGGCCACTGCTGCCAGAGCAGGGCTGATCCAAAGCCAGGAGCTTCTTCCAGGTCTCCCACGTGGGTGCAGGGGTCCAAGGTCCTGGGCCATGGTCTACTGCTTTCCCAGGCCATAGCAGAGAGCTGGATCAGAAGTGGAGCAGCCAGGACTTCAACTGGTGCCTAAATGGGATGCCAGCACTACAGGTAGTGACTTAACCCACTACATCACAATGCTGACTCCTGAATTTTTTAACATATTAAAATCTAAATATACTGGGGCCAGCGCTGTGGCACAGCGGGTTAAAGCCATGGCCTGCAGCACTGGCATCCCATATGGGTGCCAATTCATGTACCTGCTGCTCTGCTTTTGATCCAGCTCTCTGCTATGGCCTGGGAAAGCAGTAGAAGATGGCCCAGGTCCTTGGGCCCCTGCACCCACGTGGGAGACCTGGAAGAAGCTCCTGCCTCCTGGCTTCGGACCAGCTCAGCTCTGGCCATTGTGGTCATTTGGGGAGTGAACCAGCAGATAGAAGACCTCTCTCTCTCTCTTTCTCCCACTCTCTCCACTCTCTGTAACTCTTTCAAATAAATAAAATAAATCTTTAAAAAAATGTAAACATACTAAAAATGATGTGCAAAGAAACACTAGAAAAATAGTACCCCTTCCCCTATACCCCTACATAAAAATAAAGTGGCATGACTAGAGTGATCTAAAACAAGGTAGGACTTTAAGGGAAAGAGCATCATTTTCTAAAGGATTTCTATAAAAAAATAGAATTAAATAAATTAAATTAAATAGATTTAAAAAGAAAGCCCAAGACCTAAAACAATGAAGAAAACTCAGTCACAGTGAAAAACCTATCCCTCCCATTTGCAAAGCTAGTAGACCTAGACCTAGCAAGCTGCCAAGAGACAGGGGCCCTCCGACCTCCTGACTCCCAGTGCCCAGAGAACAAGAGGGAGAACCGCCCAGCTCGCTTCAATAGGGTAATGTGTACCGGATACCAAAATTAAACAAGCACAGTCACACAGTAAAATTATAGGCCAAAACTGCTTATGTGCACATGTAAAAGCCTAAATAAATACTAGCATTGAGTCCAGCAACATATACAAAGTTATCCTATTTCATCACATCTAAAATGCCACCGATTATGAGGCAACATTACTTTATATACTGAGAAAGAAAAATGCTGTCACTTTAGCCGTGACATAATACGTTCTTATCACTCATTCACTCCATTTGATCCTTACCGAAGGAGCCTTTTAGATGTCTTTACACAGCTTTCTGGCACAAGTTAACCAGACACATGCATTACAAGGAAAACACCGGCAAAATAAATAAACTCACACACTCTTAACGCTCCATCTTCAGAGTCTAACTATTCTAAATCGCTTTTCAACTCAGGGTACTTGATACTCATTCTTGCCGTCCAGAGGTACTCCTGCAGTGTTTCCTAAGAGTCTACGGGGCTCTCCGGCATTTCCTTCTAAGCCACTGACACACATTCCGGAAGGTTTGATGCTGACAGTTTTCGTAAACTTTCCAGAAGACGACAACAAAGTTTGCAGACAACAACCAGGACTCATAGTCCTCCCTCAATGGTCCTTAGAAGGTTGTGGACTAAAACTCTATGGGGTTACAGGTGACCAAGTTCAAGCAAGGGCAGTAAGAAGATGCTGCTGATGGCAAAACAGATCCAAAGTCAGAAATGTGAAAATCATATCCCGGAATCAAAGAATATGGTATGTCACACCCAGACAGGGTTTATCTGAGCAAGACAAGAAAAGTTTAGTATTCAAAAATCTATTAAAGTAGGTAACTACATTAATAAAGAAAAAACTCAATGTATGCAGAAAAGCATTTGATAAAATGTATTGTGGGGTTAGTGCTGTGGCGTAGTAGGCCAAGCCTCTGCCTGTGGTTGCGGGCATCCCATATGGATGCCGGTTCATGTCCCAGCTGCTCCACTTCTGATCCAAATCTCTGCTGATGGCCTGGGAAAGCAGTGGAAGATGACCCAATTTGCTTGGGCCCCTGTACCCATGTGGGAGACCCCAAGGAAGCTCCTGGCTCCTGGCTTCAGATCAGCCCAGCTCTGACCTTTGCAGCCATTTGGGGAGTGAACTAGCTGATGGAAGACCTTTTCTCTGTGTGTGTGTGTGTGTCTGTCTCTCTCTCTCTTTAAAGAGTTACAATAAAAACTCAATGTCTCAAATAAATAAAATCTTTAAAAAATTTAAATTTAATTATTGTAAGTTTTTAAAAAAAAAAAAAAAAGGATGTGAAGAAAGGGGAACTCTTATATGCTGCTGGTGGGAATGCAAATTAATGCAGCCACTATGGAATTTAGTATGGAGATTCCCTTAGAAACTAGAAACCAGGGCCAGTGTTGTGGTGTAGCATCTCTACTCCCAATCTAGCTCCCTGCTAAGGTTCCTGGGAAAGCAGCAGAGGATGGCCCAAGTGTTTGGTTCCTGTACCCACGTAGGAAACCAGGAAAAAGCTCCTGGCTCAGCCTAGCCCAGACCCAGCTGTTGTGAACATTTGGGAAGTGAACCAGTGGGTGAAAGATCTCTCTCTCTCTCTCTCTGTCTCTCTCTCTCACTGTCCACTCTGCCTGTCAAAAAAAAATTAAATTAAATTAAATTAAAAAAAGAAACTTGCCATATGATCCAGTAATCCCATTACTGGCTGTATATCCAAGACATGAACATGTTTTATCAAAGAGATACCTGTACCATCATGTTTATAGCAACACTGTTCACTATAGCCAAACTATGGAATCAACTAACCTTGTCCATCATCAGATGAATGGAAAACACACACACACACACACACACACACACACACACACATGAATATTCTTAAACCATAAAAAATAACGAAATCTTGTTGTGTGCACCAAAATGGGAGCAACTGGAGGACATCATGTATAGTGAAATAAGCTGGACACAGAAAGACAAATATCGGGGCCGGTGCTGTGGTGCAGTAGGTTAATCCTCCACCTGCGGTGCTGGCATCCCATGTGGACACTGGTTCTAGTCCCACTGCACCTCTTCTAATCCAGCTCTCTGCTGTGGCCTGGGAAAGCACTTGGGCCCCTGCACCCTTGTGGGAGAACTGGAAGAAGCTCCTGGCTCCTGGCTTTGGATCAGCAGAGCTCCAGCCTTTGCAGCCATTTGGGGAGTGAACCAGTGGATGGAAGACCTTTCTCTATGACTCTCCCTCTGTCTGTAACTCTACTTCTCAAATAAATAAATAAAATCTTTAAAAAAATGTTCTCCCTCAAATGTTAGAGCTAAAATTTTTAAAGATTTATTTATTTGAAGCCGGCATTGCAGTTCACTAGGCTAATCCTCCACCTTGCGGCGCCGGCACACCGGGTTCTAGTCCCGGTTGGGGCGCCGGATTCTGTCCCAGTTGCCCCTCTTCCAGGCCAGCTCTCTGCTATGGCCAGGGAGTGCAGTGGAGGATGGCCCAGGTGCTTGGACCCTGCACCCCATGGGAGACCAGGAAAAGCATCTGGCTCCTGCCATCGGATCAGCACGGTGCACCGGCTGCAGCGCACCGGCTGCAGCGCGCCGGCCGCGGCGGCCATTGGAGGGTGAACCAACGGCAAAAGGAAGACCTTTCTCTCTGTTTCTCTCTCTCAATGTGCACTCTGCCTGTCAAAAAAAAAAAAAGATTTATTTATTTGAAAGTCAGAGTTACTATAGTTTCAATTTTGTGACTATTTTAAAACTTACTTTATATGTGTGAACTTGAACATCTTTTCATTTGATTATTGTTGATAGGCTTTGCCTATTTTCCTGCTGAACTATGGTCTTTTTACTTTTTATTTGTTGAACTCTTTAGTTGAGCATTAATCCTTTGACTATAATGAAAATTAAAAATGCATCATCTCGGAGCTGGCACTGTGGCATAGCAGATAAAGCCGCCACCTGCAGTGCAGGCATCCCATATGGACACCAGTTCCAGTCCCAGCTACTCTACTTCCGATCCAGCTCTCTGCAATGGCCTGGGAAAGCAGTGCAAGATGGCCCAAGTCCTTGGGCCCCTGCACCTGTGTGGGAGATCTGGAGGAAGCTCCAGGCTCCTGGCTTCAGATTGGTACAGCTCCAGCCATTGTGGCCATCTGGGGAGTGAATCAGAGGATGGAAGACTTCTCTCTCTGCCTCTACCTCTCTGTGGCTCTAACTTACAAATAAGCAAATAAATCTAAAAAAAAAATTATCTCAAAAATGATTTTAAAAATCCCTCTTTAAACATAAATAGAAAGGAGAACTTTCTATTTGTGTAACTATCTGCCAATATTTCAAAGGAAGGAGGGAGGGAAAAAAGAAAACAAGGGAAAATACTAGAAACATCCCTTTGAAGGCAGAAACAGGATAAAGGTGACAGCCATGATTGCATCTGTATAATAATATACTAACAAGGGGCCAGCACTGTGGTGCAGTGGGTAAAGCCCCCGCCTGTGGCACCAGTTCAAGTCCCAGCTGATCCTCTTGTGGTCCAGCTCCCTGCTAATGTGCCTGGGAAAGCAGCGGAGAATGGCACAAGTACTTGAGTCCCTGCACCTATGTGAGAGACCCAGAAGAAGCTCCTGGCTCCTGGCTTCAGCCTGGTCCAGCCCCAGCTGTTGTGGCCATTTGGGGAGTGAACCAGCAGATGGAAGACCTCTCTCTCCCTCTCTGTCTTAGTAACTCTGCCTTTCAAATATATAAATAAATCTTTAAATGATAATAATAATAAACAACTAATGGTCTCAGCCAGCTCAATAAAATAGGAAAATAGTAGAGACAATAGCATAAGGATTTGGAAAAAATGAACTAAACTATTATTCTTAGGCAAATTGATTATCAATCCAAATATTTCAAAATCATCTACAGCCAAATTTTTTCACTAATAAGGAAGTTCAGCAAGACTGGGATATAAAGGCAATACAGAAAACTCCGTGGCAGGACTATAGCACAGCAAATAGTCAAAAACAAAACTTTCATAAAAGACCCTATTCAAATAAATCCAGCTAAAATGCAGGGCATTTTATAGGAAACATTTAGAACTTTATTGAAAACAAAATATTTTCTGTTGAAAACTGAAGCATTTGGTAAGATATAAATAAAGTGATGCAAAATATTTACATGATGTCCGTTATTCCTGAAATAATCTACAGTCATGGCAGTTCCAATCAGAACATCTGTGTAACTTGACAACTAGGTTGCAAACTTCCTGCAGAATGGGGGAAAGGCTGGATCTGGGAACAGCCCAGACGCTGGAAGGCAATGAAGAAGAGCTGGAGGCAGGAGGACTCACCCTCCCATGGGCCAAGACTTCCATGACATTTTATGGGTTAAAACATGTGGTACTGACAGAGCAACAATAATCCAGAACAGTAGAACAAAATATTTAAATCAGAAACAAACCCAAATAAAGAAAAGCTGATCAATCCAGTGAAATGCAAAAGACCTTGTTATGCTACAGAAGTGGTATCATAGGTTTGGGGCTGGCATGTGGCTCGGTAGGTTAAGCCTCCACCCATATTGCTGGCATCTCATATCAGAGCCACTTCGAGTCCTGGCTGCTCCCTTTCTAATCCAGCTGTCTGATAATATTCCTTGGAAAGCAGAAGAAGATGGCCCAGGTGCTTGGGGCCCTGCCACCCATGTGGGACACCGGGATAGAGTTCCAAGATCCTGGCTTTGGCCTGGCCCAGCCCTGGCAGTTGCAGCCGTTTGGGGAGTGAACTAGTAGATGGAAGATCTCTCTCCCCTTCTCTCTGTGACTCTGCCTTTCAAATAAATAAATACATTTTTTAGAAAATCAGTGAGAGAACACTTGGATACCAAGGGGGTTGGGGGTGGAATACAGAAATTAGATTCATAATAAACTGTACACAACTGAAATTTCCAGATAAATAAGAGGCCTAAATTCAAAAAAATAAAATATAGGAAAATATTTTTATTATGAACTAGAAAATAATTTCCTGAAGTAGGCAAGAATATAAATGAGAATACTTCATACATATGAGGCATATCATCTATATATCAACATCTATTTCTTACACCAATTAGAAATATTTCAAAATAAAAATGGACAATATTAACAATTTTATAGAACCAGAAACAGCCAATATATTTATGAAAATAGGTTCAATTTCACTAGTAGCTGAATCATGTGCTATTAAGATATAAATTTATATAAAATTATGCTCAAAAATACCAAGATTTGACAAGGTTGTAGGGAATTATATACTTTGCAGGGGAGAAAAACAAAATGGTGTAGTTACTTAGTATAAAGACGAGTTCTAAACGTCAGCAAACCCACTGGCTGGTTGTAATCCTAGAAACACTCCCATAAATGTGCCGGAGGAGAGACTCACAAAGAAATTTACCAATGTGGTATTTAAAACGATACAAAATTCCAAACAGTCAAAAAGCCCATCAATGGAGAAATAACACTGTAGTAGAGAAACAAGCACTGGAATACTCTAAAGTGAATCCATGGCTCAATCTCAAAACCTGTAAGTTACGTAGAAGACAAACACAGCAGCAGGATGTCTGTATAAGGTATCATTTCTACATTTTATTTTTTTTTAAAGATTAGTTTCTTTATGTGAAGGTCAGAGTTATGGAGAGAGAGGAAGAGACAGAAAGATGTAGAGCTCTGCCATCTGCCAGTTCGCTGCCTGGATAGCTGCAACGGCCGGGGCTGGGCCAGGCTGGAGCCAGGAGCCTGGAACTCCCACCTCAGTCTCCCACGTGGGTGGCAGGGGCCCAGACACTTGGGCCATCTTCCACTGCTTTCCTCAGACATAGGAGCAGGGAGCTGGATCGGAAGTGGAGTAGCCAGGACGCGAACCAGCACCTAGGATGCTAGCGTCACAGGCTTCAGCTTTACCTGATGTGCCACAATATCTGCCCCTATTTGTGCATTTTAAAAATCCAGATAGGATATTTTACATTGTAACAGACATATGCAAATATATTACAAGTAGAAGAAAAGTGCCCAGAGATCAAACATTACCTCTAGGGAGAAAGGGTGGGGGAAGCATCTAATAGGGGTAGAGGAATGGTTCTTTAACAATACCTGGACTTATTTCTTTAAAGAAAATCTACAGCAAAAATTGCAAAATGTTACCATTTGTTAAAGTGAATTAAAGGGTATAAAGGTGTTTATTATTTTTTAGTCTTTGTGTATATTTAAAATGTGTCATCATTTAAACATTGTACATGGAAAGGTCTGGCAATTTGCATGGCATACCTATTTCTAAAGGCCCCTACTATAAAATAAGGCAGAAGTTTAGAAAGGAGATCTTTGCCTATAATGACAAAAAATTTAAAACAATTAGTAAGATAAATTGTTTTATAATCATACAATGAAATGGCATGCAACCATGAATAACTGACGGTTCAGCGGGATGATTATTGATCTGGAAAGATATTGACAAAATATTAGGTAGGAAAAGTAGACTTTGAACAAACACATTAAATGGTTAAAGGAATTTCTCCTATATGCACAACTAGGCCGAAGTTCTGCTAATGCACCTGTCATGTTCTAATCTCTCATCAACTTGAATCCACAAAAAGAAGTTAACTACAAGAGGCCTAATAATAGCAAAAAAATACAATAGATTAATCCTAGAGTTTTGAACAAGAAAGATATTGCTATAAATACCTATACAGAACAGTTACATTTAAAGCCAAAAACAATTATTTCTGAGTTGGTGCCAACAACGCCCACCTTTCCAGATGAGACCTGCTCCGTACTTCACCATCTGGTCAGAGAGCGGCCAGAGCTGGCACAGTAGCATAAGCTGTGCACCTAACTAAAAGGAATAAACTACATACAAAATAAATTAAGTCAGGGTTGGGAGTCAGGGCAATCCAAAGCTATACTGATACAATCAGGCCATATTTATAGGAAAAAGAGTGGCTGCAAGAGGTTACTGAAAGAATCTGGAGGGGGAGTAGAGTATTTGTACCCTCTGATCTAGTGGAAATTGACTGGTATGCTCTAAAACCTGTATTCCATAGTTTGTTAATTAAAAGTTGCCCAAAAGGTCTAAGAATCACAGCAGGTTCTATCTGATGAAAACTGTAATACCATACAATAAAGGTGGGGGAACAGCACTGTTAGAGAAAATATTTGTTATCATTCCTTTATTGTGAACATATTTTGGTGTTCTTTATAATGCGGTGAAATATTTTTAATACTGGTAGGACAGAAAGATATTAACTGCACTTATTATGTCAAAGATTAGGACTGGCCCAGGCTATACAACAGCAGTGGGATGTAGGGTATATTAAATTTCCGCTTCCGGAGGGGTTGATTTTGAATTCACCCTTTGAGAGAAGACATCCCAGCTCGCATAATCTCATCTACCAGGAGGAGGTTGGTGGCAATCGCTGTGCTAAGGAGAAAGATGAGAGCATAAGTAAAGCCTGCCAGCCCTCCTCCTGCCCCCTCCCCCACTCCCCCTCCCTCATTTCCTGTCCCCCGCCCCCAACAATCTGCAGCAATGAAGGATACTTTTCTCTGCAGCGATGTTGGAGTGTGACTTTGAGACAAAGCGATTACAAATTATAATTTATAATTGCACTTCCTTTGCTGATAAAGTAGAAGGCTGGTTTATATTCCAGCAAAACTGAACTTATTTTTAAGCACATCATTTGATTTTTTCCCCGCTAGGCGTGTGTGGTGCTATTTCAGAAAATTTGCTTCCTCAAAAAAAAACCAGTAAAGTCAACCATTCCTATAATTTATAAAATAGAGACTAAACTAAAATGTAAAAGAAACTATAACTAAACTAAATATAAAAGAGCCTATACAACAACAGAAGCTAGTTTCTATCACTGGATAGCAAAAGCTTAATGTTATCAGTTATAGCCCAAAGGTCTTTCTCTTACGCCTATAGACTTACCAAGAGTGAAGAAGTTGCTTTTTCACACAATAATTATCCCAAACCCTTGCATCTTCTGCTACCATTGGTTCACCTGCAAAATACAAGCCATCTTAATACTGCAGTCCTGACATGCTGTATTAATGCTGACTGTACAGTCTAATAACAACTGACACACTGCCCAAGGTCATCAATGACCTCCGTGTTGTTAAATCCAGTGGCCAGTTGTCGGGTTTCATCTATGAGTGACACTTGGCACCATGGATCACAACCTTCTGACCACTCTTCCTCACTTGTCTTCAGGACAGCACACTCCTTGGGTGTTTTACTTGCATCCGTGACTCCTTTTCTAACTTGAACCTTCATGTTGGAGTACCCAAAGGTTCAGTGCTAGATCTTCTCTGTATATACTTACTCCTGAGGGGATCTCATCCGGGCTTCTGAATTTAAACCATGTGCATATATAGCTGTCTATATAGGTGTAATAAAGATACCTGTGTATGTAAATGGATGGATGGATGGATGGATGGATGGATGGATAGATATTCCGATGATTCTAAAGGCTCTATCTCTGTGTTACTTGAAAGACGACAGACATTTCAGACAGACTTCCCTGAGACAGTGCTAATGCCCTCTCACCCACAACCTTCTCTGCGCACAGCCTTCCCATGCAGCTGGTGGCCGTTCCACCCTCTGGTTGTTCGGCTGACTCCCCCCACAAAGCGCACAGCAGCCACAGTGAGCCTGCTGGCCCACGTCACACGGCTGCCCCACACTGCTCACTGTTCCCCTGCAGGAGCAATGAGTCCCAGACCAGCACAGGCGCCTCCGTGTGATCCGACCCTCTACCAGCACTCTCCCTTCCTCCCCCCACCCACCCGCCTCAAAAACCCAAGACACTGGCTTCTCCGCGGGCTGTTCCCCATCCACGACATACTCCCCAGTCCCCCCATGCCTACCTCTTCCCTTCCTCCCCCTTTTTCAACCAGGCCGACTCTGACCAACGTCTTCAACTGCGGCCCCCTCCAGCCCTCCTATAGGTGATCACCCTCCTACTGTTGTTTCATTCTCTCGTCAAATCTGTTACTTTCTCAAATGCCAAAGGAACTTATTTATTAAGGTTGGTATTTGTTGCCTGTCTTCCCCCACTATAACGTAAGCTCCCAAGGGCAGATATTTTTGTCTGTTTTGTTCTATGTGAATCCCAAGAAGCTAATTATAAGCACTCTGTAACTATTTCTTAAAGGAATGAATTTAAGAAGCGTGAGAGTAAAGGCACCCAAAATGTAAAGACTAAAGTCACCAGGCCGTCAACCCCTTACTCTAAAGCCTGCATCACCGCAGAACCCCCTGTTTCTTTACTAGCAGCCAGTTTTTCTTCACACACTCACCTGTATTCAAGTCTACGCCAACAAGTTGTTTTGATTCTACGTGCTCAGCCTGGACTTTTACCAGTGTTTCCTGCAGGTCATAACCAGAATTCTGAGCAAGAACCTTCATGAATAAAAATAATAATGCATATGTATGTGGAATAACTTCACATACATATTTGAATATCAAACATAAAAATAAGGCACTACTCTTTAGTCTTGTGGAAAATACATCTATAATGCAGTTGCCGTATCCTTTTGAAGAATTTCACGTTTAATCGACATCAAATTATCATCTTTTCTTTCTAGTAGCTCCCGTAGTTCCTTCAATATTTCCCCTCTGCTCACCACCCCAAATTCTGAGGACTTCAGAGTTCCCCTCCCCCACCACATTAATTCCCCTTCCTACAAAATATTTTTCTGAAGTAAGTAGGATAGCATCTTTGCTTCCTGTATCATTGCTAGCCTCGTGTCTTCCAGCTTTTCCTAGGCTCCTACTAAAGAAAGCTACCATATTTGCAGCCCTTCGGGCCCCTCCTCTTCAGAGCGGGAGAGACCTGTGGCAGCAGGGATGGAGGCACCTGCACTCCCAGCCCCGCTCCTCTGTGAGTGCTCCCAAGCCACCAGCTGAGGGGGAGAGAGAAAGGTACCACCAGTGGATACCAGCGCTGCCAATTTAGGTCCGCGACATGGTCATTACTTACTACTGGTGTTGCTGCTTTGAGGAAAGATAAAATAGATATCTGACTCACAAATAGCCCACAAACTGTGAATAATTTTAATTGCAAATATCAAAGGGACTTTGCTGAATTGTCAGTGACGTTTTAATTCATGGTAATAGCATATTAGAAATGGTTTTCTGTGTTTCTAGGTGGTTCACAGCCAAGTTCAGGAAAAGATAGTTCTCTATCCTTCCGTCATCACATGGAAAGAAATCTGATTTCTCTCTTTTCCTGGGAGTTATAACAACAATGACAATTGCAAACTGGCAATATCTGGGAATACTGAACAGCCTAAAGTCCTCCCTTTCCACAATTTAAAGTGGTTACACTTTGGATACCACCACCAAAATGAAGATCTAGCCTAAAATCTAATTAAATTTTAAGTCCTAAACATTTCAAACTCAGAAAAGGACCTAAGGGGGTAATTTGGCTGTTTCATAAAACTTCTGAAAGGATTCTGAGCTGTTATCCCAAAAATTTCCCTGCTGTAGTTGTAAAATGTCTAAAAAGAAAACTGTGTGAGGAAATGTGAATAAACATCTGGCTTTCTACTCTGTTGTTACATAATGCAAACACTTTGTAATTAAGCACCTTGAAGCCTAACCAGTTGTTATTTGGCCATTAGGGTAGTTGTACCTTGGGAATAATTAGTAAGGCATCAGCAAAAGCTTGGACTCCAAGACGAGCTCCTCCTTTTATTTTTCTCTTATACTTAATAAGGGCTTCAGCTATCGCCACTTCAACTGCACCTGCCCCTGGAACCACACAGCCTATTGCAAGAAAAAAAATGATTGGTAAGACATGCCATACAGGGAAAGAAAAAAAAAAAAAAACAGAGAGAAGCAATTAGCTATTCAAGTGTGTTCTATTATCTTGCCTAGTTCTATAACGTATTGAAATGTATTCAAAATCAAATAAAGGGCACAGCTCAGTTACTACTCAGTTGTCTTATGGAGCATAGGAGGCATGCTGAAGTTAAATCATGGAGTATAGTGCAGCTAACTGGCCACAAACAGCTTATTACTCTGGCAAATAAGACTAGACGTTCCTTCATGTTACTTTGTTAGTTTTCTATGACTACATTTAAAAGGTGGTTATTTATAATTTATAGTGGCAGCTAACTGATTGCAATACTGATTTGAAAAACAGTTTTTGGTATGGGATACGTGGGACTCAATGAGTATTTGTTTTCTGTATTGAAGCAGAACTACCTAAGACAAAAATCTGGGTGGTCTTGTTATTATAAGGCCAGGGTTTCTTGTTTTTTAAAGATTTTATTTATTTATTTGAGAGGTAGAGTTATAGACAGTGAGAGGGAGAGACAGAAAGGTCTTCCATCCTTTGGTTCACTCTCCAAATGGCTGCAACGGCCAGAGCTGCACCGATCTGGAGCCAGGAGCCAGGAGCTTCCTCCCAATCTCCCACACAGGTGCAGGGGCCCAAGGACTTAGGCCATCTTCCACTGCTCTCCCAGGCCACAGAAGAGAGCTGGACTGGAAGAGAAGCAGCCAAGAGTAGAACCAGCACCCATATGGGATGCCGGCACTGCAGGAAGAGGATTAACCTCCTGCACCATGGCGCCAGCCCCTAGGCCAGAGTTTTGATTAAACCCAATATTTTTCACAAAAGTACACAACTTTTACATCTGCTGCATGACTTTATAAAGTGTATGACTCTTATTTGAATCATTGCTGACTTGCTTTGGAATCAACCATGTTTAAAACAAAATCATATAAAAGTAATCACTCCTTTTATCATATCATTTTTTTAAATATTTCACTCTTCCTCCACCTCATTTCACAACAAAATTATTCAAATCGTTGTTTACCCACAAGATAATTACATCATTATGTCCTATTTGCACTTTAAAGGCTCCTTGTTGAGTCTAGTGTTTTGCTCAAGCAGTTAAGCTACTGCCTTGGGCATCCACATTCCATTTTAGAGTACCTGGGTTCAAGTCCCGGCTCTGCTCTCCATACCAGTTTCCTAATAATGCACACCCAGGAGGTAGTAGATGAAGCTCACGTACCTGGGTTCTTGCCACCCATGTGGGAGACCCATATTGAGTTCAAGGCTTCTGACTTGGACTGGCCCAGTGTTGGCTGTTCCAGACCTTTGAGGAACAAACCAGTGAATGGGAGATCTCTCTCAGTATCTGTCTGGTGTTTTCTCTCTCTCTCTCTCTCTCTCTCTCCTTTTCAAATAAAATTAGTTTTAAAAGAAGGAGAATAAATAGATGAATACATTTCTTTTTAAATTTGGAATACACTCAAAGAATATAAGGGCACTTCAAAAAGTTCACAGAAAATTGAATTAAAACATTTATTTTGATAGAAAGTAATTTTGAAATACATAGTTTTTTCATAATATTTTCCATGAACTTTTTGAAGATCTCTTTTACACATAGATTTAAAATTCTTTACAACAAAATCAACTTACCTTTTTACTCAATTTTCCATGAACTTTTTGGTATATCCTTATATTTATATACATAAGGTAAAAATGTACAAATAGACAAATATACTCTTGTACCTATCAACCAACTTCAGAAAGAGATTGCAAGTAACTGCAAATTTCCTTGATCCCATTCCCCTGTGAATATCTGTGGGCTGCTACTTCTTGAAGAGAAATGTGGTTATTTATTTATTTATTTCATTTTTATTTTTATTTATTTTTTTTTATTTTTATTTTTTGACAGGCAGAGTGGACAGTGAGAGAGAGAGACAGAGAGAAAGGTCTTCCTTTTGCTGTTGGTTCACCCTCCAATGGCTGCCGCGGCCAGCATGCTGCAGCCAGCGCACCACGCTGATCCGATGGCAGGAGCCAGGAGCCAGGTGCTTCTCCTGGTCTCCCATGGGGTGCAGGGCCCAAGCACTTGGGCCATCCTCCACTGCACTCCCTGGCCACAGCAGAGAGCTGGCCTGGAAGAGGGGCAACTGGGACAGAATCTGGCACCCCGACCAGGACTAGAACCCGGTGTGCCGGCGCCGCAAGGCGGAGGATTAGCCTAGTGAGCCGCGGTGCCAGCCTATTTATTTATTTTAAAGAATTGGCAGCCATTTTTTAAATGTTATTTAAGTTTGTTTTTTTTTTTTTTAATTTGAGAGGCAAAGAGACAGAGACAGATCTCCCATCTGGAGGTTCAATCCCATAATGACCAGCACCATGCCAGGCTGAAACCTGCAGCCAGGAACTCAATTCAGGTCTCCCGTGTGGGTGGCATGAACCCAGCTGTCTGAGCCATCACCACTGCTTCCCAGGGTCTGCATGGGCAAGAAGCTGAAACTGGGAGCTGGAGCCAGGAATTGAAGCCAGGCACTCCAATACAGGACGCGGGTATCACAACTGCTAGGCCAAACTCCTACCCCTAAACAGAAATGTAGAACCTAGATTAGAAAAAAATAAAGTTATCAAACCAGTGAACTCAGCTTCCACCTTAAGAAACCAGACAAGGAAGAGCAAATGAAACCGAATGTAATCTAAAAGTTGTACTTATGAAATTTATATTTATTAAATAAAAGCTTTCTATAAAAAAAGAAACCTAATGTAAGTAGAAGAAAGGAAATAGTAAAGACCAGAGAGGAAATTAATGAAATAAAAATGACAAACTTCAGAAATAAGAAGTGACATCACAACAGATTCTACAGCTACTAAGAATAATAAAGGAATATTATGAACAACTTTATGTAAAAATATAAAAACTTCTATTAGAGGTTGGCAAATTCTCTGCAAATGGGCAGTTAATAAATATATTAGGTGTCGCTCCCCCTCTTCGTGGAGGAACGACACAGGACCCTGCGCTGTTCTTTCGTCTGCTCGGCCCTCCCCGGGTTTGCTGCTGGTTCTTCCCGGGTTGGCTACTGTCCCTTCCACCTCCGTGGAAGGGCGGTTCCCCCTGGCCACTTTCCCCACTTCCGCAGGGGAGCGGCACACCGCCGGCCGGCTCTCTCGGGGGCTGCACAGGTGTTCCCTCAGATGTTCCCCTTAGATGCTCCCCTTAGATGTTCCTGGTGCATGCCGTCTCTCTCCTCCTTTATAGTCCTCTTCCACCAATCCTAACTCGGCTGCCCACACGCCGAGTACGCTGCTCTCCTCCAATCAGGAGCAAGTCCTACAGTTTATTGGCTCAACTGGAGGCAGCTGTGTAGAAGCTGTTTTCTTCTCTCCCAGCGCCATATTGTGGGAGAGCAGATGCATAGAATAAGTCTTAATTCCAGTAACTCAGTCCAGTCTGGGTTGCTCCCCACAGATCCCCCTTTCTTTTTATTTTTTGGCGTTGATACGCGCCTGTCTTCGGTGTCCTGCGGCACATACTCTGCTCTACTTGCTAGAGTTGCCACAGGTTCTTACAAGTCCTATCAATCAGGCAAACCGAATCCGGGTCCTCTCTTCGCCATGTTGTGAGGAGGTTTTTAGGCGCTGATGCGTGCCTGTCTTCGGTGACCTGCGGCTCATACTCTGGTCGAGCCGCCTGCTGGTGCTTACCGCCTTACTAATCAGGCAGACCGAATCCAAGCCTTCTCATTGCCATATTGTGGGGAGGCCTATTGGTGTTGATTTGCGCCTATCTTCGGTGACCTGCAGCTCATACTCTGGTCGAGCCGCCTGCTGGTGCTTACCGCCTTACTAATCAGGCAGACCGAATCTAAGCCTTCTCATTGCCATATTGTGGGGAGACTATTGATGTTAATAACGTGCCCGTCTTCGGTGACCCGCGGTGCATAAGCTGCTAGCCGCCTGCAGGTGCTCATCGCCTCACTAATCAGGCAGACCGAATCCAAGCCTTCTCATTGCAGTATTGTGGGGAGGCCTTTCTATTTCTCTATTTCTCTATCTCCGGGCATTCCTATTTCTCCCATTTTACTTCTGTCTGCCAACATTCCTATTTCTCTCATTTTACTTCTAAACTTCTGTTTCTCTTATCCCTGCGGCTTCCCGGCGCCCACCCCGAGACTGCTTCTCGGCGGCTTCCCGGCTGAGCCGCTTCAGCCCGCGCCTCTCTCATCTGCGCGGCTCGGCTTTGCGCGCACACTCCGCGGTCTCGCACTAGCCCAGCGTTCCCTATCTACTTGTGCCCCACACGCTCTCTCTGCGCACGGCAGCCTCCACGAGTCACACAGCGTAGCTTACGTCTCCGCCACTAGCATTCAATCTAAGTTCCCCGGGCTAACCTGGCGAATTCAACCTAGCTCACGCGTCTGCGCCTTTCGGTCTGGCTTCCCGTCCTTTGCTCCTCAGGCTAATCTGACGGATTCCAACCTAGCTCATATGTCTCCGCCTCTAGTTTTAGATTTTCGCCTTTTGCTCCCCGGGCTGACTTGACGAATCCCAAACTGGCTTACGTTTCCCCCTCGGCCTGCCCCCGCAGCTTCAATTTCCCTAACATTTTTCTCTACCCGGTATGTTTCCCCAAGCTTTCCTCCAACAATACTCCTCCCTCATTTCTCCTGGCCTCTCCCCACAGTCCGCATCCGAGTCTGTTTGTTCTAGCTTTCACTTTCGCTTTCGACCTTAGAGATTTCTCCCAGCTTCCCCCCGTAGTCCGTATCTGAGTCTATGCCTAGGCTTTCAATAGCTTCTTCCGGCACCTTTTTCATCCGGCTTTTCCCTAGGCTGTTTGCTAGTCTCTCTCTCGGAAATTTTCCCATTTCTTCCCATTTCTTCCCTCCTAGGTTTCCTATCCGTCCTAGGTTTCCTATCCGAGTCACGGCACCATTATGTCGCTCCCCCTCTTCGTGGAGGAACGACACAGGATCCTGCCTAGGCTTCCTATCCGAGTCACGGCACCATTATGTCGCTCCCCCTCTTCGTGGAGGAACGACACAGGACCCTGCGCTGTTCTTTCGTCTGCTCGGCCCTCCCCGGGTTTGCTGCTGGTTCTTCCCGGGTTGGCTACTGTCCCTTCCACCTCCGTGGAAGGGCGGTTCCCCCTGGCCACTTTCCCCACTTCCGCAGGGGAGCGGCACACCGCCGGCCGGCTCTCTCGGGGGCTGCACAGGTGTTCCCTCAGATGTTCCCCTTAGATGTTCCCCTTAGATGTTCCTGGTGCATGCCGTCTCTCTCCTCCTTTATAGTCCTCTTCCACCAATCCTAACTCGGCTGCCCACATGCCGAGTACGCTGCTCTCCTCCAATCAGGAGCAAGTCCTACAGTTTATTGGCTCAACTGGAGGCAGCTGTGTAGAAGCTGTTTTCTTCTCTCCCAGCGCCATATTGTGGGAGAGCAGATGCATAGAATAAGTCTTAATTCCAGTAACTCAGTCCAGTCCGGGTTGCTCCCCACAATTAGGGATAGGGACTGTGGTACAGTGTGTTATGCCATTGCTTGGGCACCTGCATCCCGTATCAGACTACCTGAGATCAAGTCCTGCCTCTGCTCCCATCCAGCTTCCTGCGAATGTGCACCCTGGCAGGCAGCAGATCATGACCCAAGTGCTTAAGTTCCTGCTACCCATGTGGGAAACCCAGATGGAGTTCCTTGCTCCTGACTTCAGTCTGATCCAGCCCTGGCTGTTCTACTGGATGGAAATCTCTCCTCCCATTGCTCAAAAATAAATGAAAAGGCTGGCGCCGCGGCTCACTAGGCTAATCCTCCGCCTTGCGGCGCCGGCACACCGGGTTCTAGTCCCGGTCGGGGCGCCGGATTCTGTCCCGGTTGCCCCTCTTCCAGGCCAGCTCTCTGCTGTGGCCTGGGAGTGCAGTGGAGGATGGCCCAAGTGCTTGGGCCCTGCACCCCATGGGAGACCAGGAGAAGCACCTGGCTCCTGCCATCGGATCAGCACGGTGTGCTGGCCACAGCGCGCTGGCCGCGGTGGCCATTGGAGGGTGAACCAACGGCAAAGGAAGACCTTTCTCTCTGTGTCTCTCTCTCTGTCCACTCTGCCTGTCAAAAAAAAAAGAATCAAAAACGAAAAGGGGGAAATGTGGAATGAGAAGGCCATGCCAAGGTGGCCACTGGCAAGCCAGCGTCAGTTACTCAGGAATGGCTTTGAAACCCACCTGGCAACGGAGCCTGCCTGGCAACAGGCTGTTATTGGATGGCTTTTGAAACTGCCTGGCAACAGGCTGTGATTGGTTGGGGCATAGACCGCCCCTTGACCAGATTGGCTGGTCT